CCGTCATTTTATAACGCCCCCACGGCTGAAAAGGCGAGCATGTTTGGTGTGACGGGGATTTGAACCCGCGACCCGCAGATTGCGAGTCGAGCGCCCTAACCACCTGGCCATGCTGGGCCCCATGATAGTGTTAAAGAGAATGCCATGCAGTTTGAGTTCAACAACAGCCTATGCTAGTGTGACACAATTATTACCCATCTTCAACCACCTTTTTAAAACCGCCATTGATTTCACTAAACATCAAGCACTGCTTTGCTATCTTGTGATTCATATAAATAAACTGTAAAATGTGATTCCATCAGCATAAGCATACAAAGGGCCAGAAGTAAATTACAGTTTGCATTATTCATCTGAAAAATGATCTGTTTCATGTGAAGCAGGTCTTTCATAATCCATAACAGCATTGTTTCCATCATCAAAATCATTATCCTTGTCCAATAGATGGCCAAAGTATACTTTATGCAGTACAGCAACTGGAGCCTCTTCTTCTATTACATAATAAATTACCATCATAAAATACTAACTCAGCCTTTTTTGAACTTAGTGATCAGCCAACTTTTCTCAGTACATCAACTTGAGTTACATTAGAGACTCCCATAATTTTATATCTATCTCTCATAGCAAGTTAAATATTCTCTATCGCATGGTCTTAATTCTGTTAGATATACAAGTCTGCTCATTTTAAGAGTTATTTAGTGATCTAATATTTAATGATTATTTAGTTTTTATCACAAGTGTTAAAAGTTAATTATTTCAAAAGCAATAGTTATGAAAAGTTTCATTACGTAACTCTGTACGAGTCGTAGGTTATGTGTGTAGTTTAGTTGTTGTACTAGGCTTTTGTAATATTGTAGACGTCATCTTTCTCGAAGCTTCTAATTTTTTTCGTTATGTGTAATATTTTTGTTACTAGAGTGTTAGATATTGCTAGATTTTTCTGTCACGTGTTATATATATATGTGTTCTGTTATAGAAGTAAGTTTAGTTAGTGAAAGTAATAGTGAAGTTAGACTGCGTGATTGACAGTTTAGCCATAACATAACGAGCAATTTCTAAAATGAAAGTATCACAGCTTGTGTTTTAATAACACAGATAGAGAAGAAGAATTGTGTTCTAAAATAACTGAACCAGACTGTGTGGATTTTTGACATAAAAGAAAATTATTTAAAGTTCTGGATAAAACTGTGATAACTAATAATGTAACGAATTTTTTTACATACATTTGACTTGTTTGAACATATTATTTTAAAACAAGTGGATTGTATGTTGTCCATTTATTGTTGAAATTTATAACAAGTCACAGACGACTGGACAGTCTGTTTCAGTCCACTTTTCACAGAAAAGGACCTACAAGTGTATGTAGGCATGGCGTCAGAAAATGTCATGGACTATATGACAAGTTATTTTAAAAGAGGTGTTGCTTAAACGCTATAAACTTACCCAGGAAGGTTTTCACCAGAAATTCAGAGAAGTTAAACCTGGCACTGGAGAAACTTCATCTTTTTTCACACTAAACGGCGACAACAGTAGTACTAGAGGTCACAAGTATAAAGTTTGGCAAGGTAGGAGTCATCTTCAGCTAAGACAGTATTATTTTTCTAACAAAGTATTTAGCCTCTGCAATCGATTGCCTTTGGATGTTGTGGAGGCAGTAAATGTAATTGAGTTTAAGAGAAAGCTTGATAACTATATGAATAATAACAACTGGCTTTAAGATTTTTATTTTATTCTTTTTTAAATTTATTTATTTGATAGTTTAGTTTAGAGGATGGGGCAGCCAAGATGGACTAACAGGTCACTTGTCCCTAAACATTATGTTAAACTGTTCTGTTTCTGACATATCTACGGCAATACTTCACAAGATGGACTGACATAGCCAAATGTGAAAATAGTTTTGATGGACTGGCAGATCTACTTATACGTGAACAGTTCATGATCACGAGCTCAACTGACATGTCACTGTTCCTAAAGGAGAGAGCACCAAAAGACATAGACGAGATGATCAAGCTGACAGAACAGTATGTGGAAGCCTATGGAGGGAGAATAACTGGCAAGTCCAAAAACAACTAGTTAAAGTTGAAACAAGGGGTGGCTGACCAGAAACAGGATACCACG